CAGGAAACATTTTGACATTGTTCAGCTGGTTGAGCAGGCGACTAAGTGTCACCGAGTCCGTTGCCATGTGGCAGGTGCGCAGGTGTTCCCATGAATGTTGCGCGGGTGCCCACTCGTTCTTGAAGGGGCGAATGCTTAGCTGTTTTTCGGGCGACAGGTTCCGAATCAAGACGGTGAAGGCCAGGAGCGATTCGTTGTAATATTGCATCTTCTCCTAATGTGAGCCGTTGGTTGGGAATGCGTATGATCCGTCGTAATACATCCCGATCTGAGCACCCTGAGCTAGTAGTTCGAATTCGAAACTCTAGGTATAAAAGTCTTGCCCATCGAAGGGCTTCGTTGTCTTGCTCTTCGATGTCAAGAGAAATTTGCTCTGCATTGACGCCATTGCTTCGTAATGTGTCTGTGTGCTTGTGCAGAACCTTGAGTTCCGTGGTTGTCAAAGGTGAAGGATCGTTCAGATCCAGCTCCTTGCGGATCGGGTCGATCGTAGGTGGAGCCTTCGATGCTCATCGGCTGATGGCTCTCCAGTGCGCTGATGCGGGAGATCAGCTGCTCGAGGATCGGTGTGTCCACAGTCGTTGTAGTAGAAGCGACTGTCAAGATAGTAGGTAATAGAGAGTAGAAACGTGGGGCCTAGGCTTAGTAGCCTAGGCCCTAACTTAGTATCGAGCGGGTTTTCCCCTAGGGTGAGAGTCGAGTGAGTTGAGAGGAAAATTGTGAAAAGGTGGGTTTCACTATAGGTTCAGGGGTACATATAGCATAGAAACACAATAAGGTGCACCACCAACAAAAGTTTACATAACTACACTAACTACAACTACAAGCAATTATAAAACATGACAAAATATTTCGACACGCCCCCATAATGCTTGTAGGTAGGTGTGTAGTTACAGCAACAGCAGGTACCCCTACCATCTCCTCACCCTCCTCCTTCCCCTCCCCAACACTGCTGCAGAAGCAGCAGAGAAAAGGGGGAAAGAGGAAAGGTGGAGGGACGGCTGCTTGTTGCCTCACCCCCGCCACCCCGGTACCACCCCCCCCCCTCACCCACATCCTCACACCCTCCTCCCCCAGCGGCAGCTGCAGCGGTGGGACTGAAAGAAGGAGGAGGGAAAGGGAGAGAGTTGACCCCACGCTCCAACACCCTCCACCCCCATACCCTCCTCCCCACGGCTGCAGGGAGACAAGAGAAAGGGGGGGGTGGGAAGGAAGAAAGCCGCAGAGCGGCGAAGAGGCGTCGGTGCAGATGGGTCAGGGACGGCAGCAGGGAGTGCAGGGGCGGAGAGGCCCGTCGCGGGCCAGTGCCACGGGGCGCACGACGGGTAGGATAAAAGGGCCCGATCGTGTGCCTCGGGGCGCACGACGAGCAGGGCACCATCGTGTGCCTCGGGGCGTACGATGGGCAGATAAAGGGCACCGTCGCGTGCCACGGGGCGCGCGACGAGCAAGATAGGAGTCACACGCCCGTGGGCGGGACAAGGTAAAACTAAAATCGTCACGCGCCCTAGGCGCGCGACCGGAAAATCTCAGCAGCGGAAGAGTAACGCGGGCCCACAGGCCAGGACGAAAACAGCTCCGATAACATGTCAAGATAGTAGGTAATAGAGAGTAGAAACGTGGGGCCTAGGCTTAGTAGCCTAGGCCCTAACTTAGTATCGAGCGGGTTTTCCCCTAGGGTGAGAGTCGAGTGAGTTGAGAGGAAAATTGTGAAAAGGTGGGTTTCACTATAGGTTCAGGGGTACATATAGCATAGAAACACAATAAGGTGCACCACCAACAAAAGTTTACATAACTACACTAACTACAACTACAAGCAATTATAAAACATGACAAAATATTTCGACAGCGACATTGGTGGAGGGTTGTACTGGGTTTTCTCCAGCCTCTCCGCAATCTGCGCATGGCATGTTGATGCCCTTGGTGTTGTTGATCTTGATGTAAAGATGACTTGTGATAAAAGCTTGTTTTAAGGTCCTTTAGCAGTTCCTATAATCCAAACTAGCTCTCCGACCATGTTAAACTGAAGGATCTTGGATAGGATAGGAACGCCTTAGTAGAGTTTGGTAACGGAAGTCCTTGTCGTGGGAATTTTGATCATACTGAGTATAAATGACAAAGTTGATTAAAACATAGATTACACACATAATAAATAGTTCTACAGTAACTAGCCATGTACTCCGAGAGGTTCATTCCCTAATTCTAATTTCCTTTACATGCATTTTTATAGTGACTCTGACTGTTGTTCTTTCAATCTTGTTACCGAGTCGTTGCATGTAACCACTATATACGGTTCCAACTGTTGCCATTTCTCGAAAGTAGGTCAATCGTCTGTCCAGATGGTCAGCCGTCGGAACAGTTGACTTTACGACTGTTGACCTTCCTGCCCTTGATACGGGCTGATCCGATATTATTGCTAGCATTGCCTCGATAGTGGTGGGTGTGATACTGCTGCACCTACGGGAATGCTGAGTCTAATCCCTTCATACACCAACACATTACAAGTTACAACATGCAATTTTTGCTAGGGTGGGTGGGTGGGAAATAAGACATTTGAAATTTAAAGCGGAGACGTGGGTGGAGGCCATATGGCCTCCACCCCATGCTAAATAGTTGGCGAAGAGCGCTAGCATTTCGCCGTTGCCACTCCTGCATTACAAGCAGCTTCACTTTAAAAATTCACATTTTTTAAAAGTGTTGTGCACTTTCAAAAAACTTCATATCAAACAAAGGCAATGTCACAATAAAACCTTGGTACATCCAGCTACATTCAATCGGTCTTGGGCTTTTTTTTTTGGCCTTGGATGGTGGGCCGCATGGCATGGGGTCACCAGGTGCCTTTAACTGAGCATCACCCTGGTTGGTTGTGTCGTGAACAATACAGCACATTGATAGTGTTAAAGCTGGTAAAGTTTCCTAACTCACAGTACTAGTTAGCGGAACTCCCAAGGCTGTGCAATATATACACGCCATACTCGTTCAATACAACGATCGACCTTGGGGGTTTGGGATGAGGGTGCTTTCTTGGCCATCAGATCCCTCTCCGATCGAAGGTGTAGCTTTACGAAACTTTTCCATTCCTTTTTTGAACTCGGGTGGATACACACTGTTTCTCGATGTTTGAACAAACGGGAGCCCCGGCTACAGTGCGCACGTGTGCTTGGATTCAGCGGGCTGGTGCTTGCAACCGAAATGCACTTCAGGAGAACGGTAGACAACGGTTTATGAAAAACAAAGTGCTTTTGAGTTCGGTTTCGTGCGGCAAAAGTGCTTATACGGTATGTTCTGGGACCAATTTGGACGCATTGATGTCAGTACAACCGGCTGGTCAATATGGCGAATGTCAGTGTGGCGCGAAACAAGGTGTATGTTGACATCATTACGCGTGCTGTTTGCCCATGTGCAATCTGTCATGTCAAAATTAAGTTACATCAAATCTATTCGATGCTGCTTCCGTCCAATCATCGTCCTTACTTAGTGCCTAAGGTCGTAGCGCTATCCAGGTGGGTTCAAGAGTTCGCTACATCAACTTGCATTTACGCCAACCATGACCCTCCACACGAGTTGTTCTAGAAGCTACTAATGACCTGGCACTTTGCTGCGGTGGGCAATAGAGTGTAACCTTGCATCCGCTGTTTGCTGAGCACGTGACTCCGCTGTAAGTGAATGTCGGGCAGAATAATATCATGTTTCTCAACCATAACTCAAACATCATTTTCACATATTGTGAAAAAACCTTGCCGTGTCCAACTATCATGAGTTGCAGGTACGTGTAGTGGTGGAGCTTGTTCGGAAGCTGTCATACACCCCCTTCGCTCGTACTTACAGGATCACAACAATCGAATCCAGCCAGGTCGGCCATGCGGACGTCATCCGCAAGAACGAAACACTGTGCACTGTAGAGACGCGATCGCCGAAAACGGCCCTGCTTCCCAAACCCAACCTGTGACCCAGATTTTTGGGATGTGCAGCCAAGGCAGCGTGGCTGACCAGGTGGCTACAGTCAGACTTCCCAAAGCAACCTCTGAGCCACGCTGTATGAAACCACCCCCATCCCATCCCTAAGCACAAAAACCTACTGGTGGCAAACTCGACTTTCTGAAGAAAAGGAGATGGGGGCGAGGAGGAAAAAAGAAAAGCAGTTGAGACAATGTTGTCAGGGGCTGCTTTGCCCACATATTTTTCACCATCCCAAGCCAACCAACAGCACCGCTGCATGCTCCTCCACATGCAGCGTCTGCTACGTGAGTTTCTTGCAGACCCGAAAACCAAGAGCAACTGAGGCCAACGAGCGATTTGCGTGCCCCCAGACGCTTCACCAGCATACGCTCGCTATCTGGCTGTTAGCCCAAGAGATTCGAAGCTAGTACACGAGGGGCGAATGCCATCCTAATCGTAGCAAGACTGCGATTTGGTTCGTTTAGCCAAACTTGAGCTATGATCTCCAGCAGAGTCGGTGATAGTGAAACTGTCGGTGCCATAGTGACCGAAATCTAGTCGTCTGCGACTATCCTACAACAGGCTTCGAGTTTCCCATGTTTTTTCTAGTGGATGTACTGATCTAGTTTCGCATTTTCAGGAAGCTTCTCAGCCTGCGTTGTATTCAAGAGTTGATTTACTTGACCAGATGCAGCGGTCTTGAGGTTTCTAATTCTGAGGTTTACATCTCTCGGAGTGAAGCTTGGAGTCGGGTCTGTTACCCCCTGAAATACGGTCGGGGAGGAGGGAAGGAGAGGTGATCTTACTTAGCAGTCAAGTAACTTACCTTTCGTTCGTACCTTGTCTACGCCAGTTCCGTGTGGTTCAAGTGGTCGGTACTGGTAGGAAGTAGCGGGAAGTCGGTTCAGGCACAGTACTTGTAGAAATAGTAGCGATTTACTCGTTACGGGAAGGATATTCGGGAACAAGGACAACAGCCGCGAGCTGCAGCTGTGGGGGTCCTGCTGAACCTTTATCGGTAATCGATTTTTCCTGCTGCGCTTCTGCAGATGGAAGAAGACATGCCTTCCGGCCCACGCCGGTCCTTACCGCTCCATCCGCCACCTCCTTTCGCTGGCCTGATTCCTCCTCGCTCCGATCCGGAGATTCCTCACGTCGTCTCCGCCGTTCCGAGTAGTTATTTTCCACATCACATCCCCGTCAACGCAAGTGCTGCCGCCTTGCACCCATCTCTTGTACCCCCGCACTCCGCAGCTTTGCCTCTCGGGATCGCGCTCCCGCCTTTAACGGGAGCCCCGCTCCCCGTACGCGCAGAACTCGCAGCACTGGGCACTGGGGCCGCGGGCGGAATTAGCGCGATTGGTCCGGGAGGGGTGCCGCTTTTTGGCGCGGGGGAGGCCAGCGGACAAATGCCCGCGCCTTCCGGCTGGCAGCCCGATCCGCAAACGGTCATGGCGATTGCAGCCGCAGCGGCGGCGGCGGCGGCGGCTGCTGCGCAGGGACAGCGCGGAGCAGCGGCGGAAACGGCCGGGGGATTGGCGCAACCAGCAAAGTTCTTACCGGGGCTCGCGGGTCTCGGTCCGGTCGCTGGGCTCGGCGCGCTGGGATTGACCGGCGGGTCTGCTGTCACCGCAATGTCTACTTTTCCGGGAATGACTTCTTGTGGCGCTGCGGCCCTAGGCTCGTCATTAGCCCCCGAAGCGTACAGGGGATTTACGGGAGTTAACGAGCTTGATCCTACTGTCAACCCTTCCCTTCTTTCCTCTTTCGCGGCGTCGAGTCCCGCTACCGGCCCCGCCGCCGCAGCCGCCGCTGCTGCCGCTGTCGCCGCCGGTGGTGCCGGCCATCTTCTTCCCGCGCTCTGGCGCCTCAATCCATCGGCGGCTGCGGCGGCAATGGCGGCTGCTGCGGCGGCAGCTGGTGCCGCGGGAGCTGGTGGTGGGAGGGCGGACGCCACATTCGCAATTGGCGGCACCGGCGGTTTCGGCGGAGCTCCGCTTACTCATGAGCATCTGTGGGCTTCGCGTGGAGAAAGGAACAGTGGTGGGGACGGGGAGGGCAAGCGGACGGGAAGCGGCAGCGGCGGAGGCAGGCGGAGCGGGGAAGGCAGGCGCACGGGAAGCGGCAGCGGCGGAGGCGGGGAAGGCGAGCGCAGGAGAGATGAAGGGAGCGGAAGCGGCGGGCGCGGTGGCTTGGATTGCGCGGCGTCGAGAGCAGCTATCCGCGCGGTGGCGGCGATAAGCATCACAGACAGCGGAAGCCGGGTGGGCGTGGGCGGGGAGGGAGTGGATAGCGTACGCGGAGGGGGAAGGGCAGCTGCGGAGATTGCGTGCGGCGGGGGCCGAACGGGGGGGGCAGCAGCGAGCAGTCAGAGCCCTAGTGTGACTGTATCGGAATCAGTGATTGGTGGTTACACTAACGCTGGTGCGGCTGTGGGTGTTTCGGCGGATGCTGCCGCTGAAACAGCTGGTACCAGTGCCGCCGCTCGCTCCGCTATGATGCTCAACCATGGTCCTGCTCAAGCCTATAACGCGTACACATCACAACCGCCAGTCGCGCATCGTCCCCCTCACCCTCCGCCTCCGCCTCCTCCGCCTGATCTTCGCCCTCCCTCTCGCCCATCCTTCCCCCCGGCACCTTCCGCGCGCCCCGCCCTTCCCCCGAATCCAACCGCCCCCACGCTATGCTCCCCGGGACAGTTTTTCCTGCCGTCGGCCGCCAACCCGTTTGCTGTGGCGGCGGCAGCAATGGCGGCCGCGGCGGCGGCAGGAGGAGGGGGAGCGGGTGAAGGCGGTTCGGGTGCGGGGCTCAACCCCCTTCTGGGCGCGCTCTCGCTTCCTCTATTCGCAAACGCCGCCGCTCCGCTCGGAGCTGGTACAGGCGGAGTGGGGGCGGCGGGGCTTAGAGCGCTGGGAGCGGGAGCGGGAGCGGGAACCGGCGGGGAGAATACAGCAGCCGCTGCTGCGGCAGCGTTTCGAGCAGCAACAAATTTTGGAGCAGCAGGGTTAGGAGCAGGGCTGGGCGGAGGGCTGGGGGCAGGAGCGGTAGGGGGAGGAGGGGGATACGGAGGCACGACCGCAGCTGCAGCCGCAGCCTCCGCAGCAGCAGCATTAGCAGCTGCAGCGTTCGCCGTAGCCTCTGCTCCTTCCTCCACTGCTGCCGCTGCAGCTGCAGCGGCGGCCGCGGCAGCAGCGGCAGCGGCGGCAGCAGCAGCGTCAGCTTCGGAGGAACCTTCCTCATCGATGGTTCCAGCTGTTATGGGCCTTGGCGGAACGAGATTGGCAGCGGATGCGGGGTTTCCTGGGGTGGGTGGATACGGAGGGGCTGGAGGTATGGGAGCGGCAGCTCTGGGGGCAGGGCTAGCAGGAGCAGCTGGTTTCCCTGCTCTCTTCGGTGCCCCTGGTTTGCATACGTCCTTGCCTGGATCAGGCTTACATGCTTCAGCTATGGCCCCTGCTACTGCCTCTACCCCTGCCATTGCCTCTGCTGTTGCTGCGGCTGCCGCTGCCGCTGCTACTACTTCTGCTGCTGGTGGTGCTCTGATGCTGCCTGTTGTCCCTGGTGGTGCCGTTCCTGCCTTTGTCTCTCCTCCTTCTGCTGCGGCGCCGTCAGCAGCATCAGCCGCAGCAGCGGCGGCAGCAGCGGCGGCGGCGGCGACAGCAGTAGCAGCAGCAGCAGCGACAGGAGTCCAGTCGAGCACACCAGCGACTGTTATCACTTCTCTGTCAGAGAACCCAAGTGACCGCCCATGGTGGTACAGGCAGGAAGGGTACAAGTGCGGCGTGTGCGGCGCGCATTTCACCTCTGCACAAGCCCTGGGCGGCCACATGACCCGCCATACCACACGCAAGCGACGCGTTTCCTCCGCGTCTACTGCTGCTGCTTGTGGCGCTGGTGGTGGTGCTGCTGGCGCCGCTGCTACTGGTGGTGCTGGTGATGCCTGTGTGGAAAAGCTGGGGAAGGTTGCAGGGGAAGGAGCAGCGGGTGGTGGTGGCTTCAGAGAGAAAGGTGCTGCTGCTGCTGCCGCCGCTGGTGGTGGTGGTGGTGTGGGCGCACATGCGGTAGGCGCAGGAATAGTCTCTGCTGCTACTGCCGCTGCGGCTGCTGCTGCTGCTGGCGCTGGTACCGGTGCTGCTGCTGGTGCATTCCCTGCTGTGCTGCACAGGAAGGCAACGGGGGCGGAAGAAGAAAAGACAGCGCAAGGAGACTTCACGGGGGACAATCGCAGGGGCCGTATGAGGCGCAGGGCAATCCGGCCTGAAGCGAGCACCGGGGCAACAGCAACAGCAGCAGGCCTCCAAGACGGTGGCTTTTCGCCCTGGATGGCGGCTCCTCGCAGTCCCATTGGCATTGGCGTTGGCACCGTCGGCGCAGGCGCCCGTGGCGGAATTGGTGGTGGTGGCGGGGGTATTGGTGGCGGGGGTATTGGTGGCGGGGGTATTGGTGGCGGGGGTGGTGGCGGGGGTGGTGGCGGTGGTGGTGGTGGTGGTGGTGGTGGTGGTGGTGGTGGTGGTGGTGGTGGTGGTGGTGGTGGTGGTGGTGGTGGTGGTGGTGGTGGTGGTGGTGGTGGTGGTGGTGGTGGTGGTGGTGGTGGTGGTGGTGGTGGTGGTGGTGGTGGTGGTGGTGGTGGTGGTGGTGGTGGTGGTGGTGGTGGTGGTGGTTGTGGAGGAGGCGTGGGCTCAGGCAATGCAAGAGCAGCAATTGCAGGCGCGCCGCTGACGGCCCTCACGTCGTCGTCATCATTTTCAGGAGTAGCAGCAGCAACACCAGCATCTGGAGCATCGACAGCAGCAGCTGCCACCGCCGCAGCAGCAGCAGCGGCAGCAGCAGCTGCTGCTGCAACAGCAGCAGGAGCAGGCGCAGGGGCAACATTAGGTGTTGGCCCTTCGGGTCTTCCCTGGGCTCACTCACCCGCCGCCTCACCGCTCGTCCCCGTAATCCACTCCTCTGCATCCCTCTACGCGCCCTACCACTCCCACAGTTATTCTCTTGCCTCATCCTCCCGCGCAGGGCCCATGAGCCCACCCAGTGCAGCAGGCAGCAGGGCAGGCATAGGAACCACCGCCGCCGCCGCCGCCGCTGCTGCTGCTGCTGCGGCTGCAGCTGCTGCTGCTGGTGGCGGTGCTGCTGCGGATGCTGGTTCAATCGACGTGGTTGCGTCGCTGGGAAGCGCCGGCTCTGCATTTGGATCGGGGAGAGGAGGAGGAGGAGGAGGAGGAGTGCGGTCAGAGTCGTCTGGCTTCGGATCGTCCATACCCTCTCACCATGCGCTCGTCAGCTCTGCAGGCTCATCACCGGCCTATGCCCTCACCACGCCTCCGGTAGTCAGTCAGGTGCTGGGACGGACCACGGAAGTGAGCCGGATTGAGGCAGGCGGGACAGGCGGAATCGGTGGCGGTGGTTCAGCTGCTGCTGCCGCCGCCGTCGCTGCTGCTGCTGCTGCTGCTACTGGCGGTGGTAGCTTTGCTGCTAGTGTTGCTGACACTGCTCTCGCACGTTACCCGGTACATGTGCCGCTCTCCCACTTCCCCCGGCCTGCCGCGCTCCATACCCCACATCCCAAGCCGCCGCCTGCGTTCGTGTTCTCCTCAGCTTCGCTCTCCAACGCCCCTGCGACTGCTCTTAAAGCGTGGAGGCCCACCCAAATGGGCCTGGGCGACTGGGGCGTTAACGATCCGAGTCACGCAGACGAAACGGCTGCTAGAGCGGCTGCTGCTGCTGCTGCTGCCGCCGCCGCCGCTGCTGCTGCTGCTGCGGGGACAGCAGGGGCTGCTGCGTCGGCGACTGCTGCTGCTGCCGCGTGGGCAGCGGGTGTTGTTGGTGCGCGGGGCGGAAGGGGATTGGAGGAGGGCGGGTGGCACACTGAGGTGTCTGCCGCTGCTGCTGCTGCAGCGGCGGCGGTGCTGGCGGGGCAGGAAGCGGCAATGGAAGAGGAGCATCAGATGCAGAAAGGCGGGCGGAAGAGAATGCGCGTTGATTTGGATACAGATAGAGATGTGGAGATGGTTGTTGGAGGGGACAGGGGAGGAGAGGTGCAGGGAGGGGGAGAGAGTGGGGTGGAAGGAGGAGGAGAGGAGTGGAAGCAGGGGGCATTCGGTGTGATGCAGGTCGAGGGGGATGCGGAGATGGTAGAAGCGAGGGACAGATGGTGCGTCGGGGAGATGGAGAGGGAGAGGGAGAGTGAGAGGGAACGGGAGCGGGAGCTGGAGCGGGAGAGGGAGAGGGAGATGGTGAGGAAGAGGGAGAAGGAGCGAGAGAGGGATGAGGGGCGGTTGGGCGCACAAGAGCTGGCGTTCTTTGGGCATGCAGGGTCGTGGGACGACTCTGGCCTCTGGAAACCCTCTCCCTTGGGCCGCCAAACCACGCCTACCCCCCAACCGCCTCCTGTAGCAGTATGGCCAGCGGCAGCGGCAGCGGCAGGGGCGGGCGCGGGAGCGGGAGCAGGGGCAGGGGCAGCAGTGGCGGTTCCAGGCGCAGGCCTAGTGGGTGGGTTAGCAGCAGCATCAGCTGCTGCTGCTGCTGCTGCGGGATGGAATGGCGGAGGCGTTCGAGGTGACTATGGGCCGGCAGGGTTATCTGGGGGAGGTGCATCTGTCACTGGGTCGGTTCCCAAGGATTGGACTGCCACGCCGTCAGGCCCGTTCTTCTTCGAGGGCCCGTCCCCTCATCCTCACTGGTGGTCCCCGTATGCTGCGAGCACATCAGCTGCAGCAGCTGCAGCCACGGCAGCGGCAGCGGCTGCAGCGGCAACAACGGGAATGACGGCAGCTGCTGCTTCTGCCTCTGCTTTTTCAACAGCACCTGTTGCCTTCCCTCCTTCCATAGATGTTTTCCCCCTTGCTGCACCCACAGCTTCTCCACCCCCGCCTCCACCTCCTCCTCCTCCTCTTCCTCTTCCTCCTCCTCCTCCCCCCCTCGCTTCCCCTGCAGCCTTCTTTCTCCCCAACATCTCCCACCAGTTCCCTCGCCCTACCATTCCTGCGCATTCCTCCAAACCTTCTACTGCACCCGTGGCCGAGCTAGTGGGTGCCGGGGCGGTCGATGCAGCAAACGCACCGTGGCATCTGTTACACGTGCACGCGCTCGCCTCTGCCGCTCGGGAGAGCGGCAGTGCGGACGCAAGCGGCAGCGGCAGCGGCGGCGCTGGTGGTGGTGGTGTTGGCTGCGGCGGCGGCAGCGGCAGTGCCGGTCGCGGCGGTAGCGTGAGTCGCGGCGGCAGCGTCGGCAGGGGCAGCAGCAGCGCGGGGCGAGGCAGCAGCGGCCGCAGCGGTAGCAACGGCGGCGGCGGCGCCGGCGGCAGTGGTGGTGGTGGTGGTGGTGGTGGTGTGAAGAATGTGCTGCACTTCCCTGCCCACCTGTCGCGACCCCGTGTCTTGCCCTCAGGGTTCCTCTCAGGGGAAATGCTTGGTTCGGACACCCCAGCTGCTGTAGCTGCTGCTGCTGCTGCTGCTGCAGCAGCAGCAGCAATGGCAGCAGCAGGGGTTGCGGGAGTGTCTTTGGACAGGCCGTTTGGAGGAGTGGCTGTAGGAGAGGTTATATCTGAAGCCAGCAGCAGCAGCAGCAGCGGGCGCGGGAGCAAGGCGAGCAGGGGCAGCAGGAGCAGCAGGGGCAGCAGCCGGGGCAGCGGCGCTTCCAGCGGCGGGGGGAGACGCAGTGGGAGCAGCGGGAAGGATCGAGAAGGAGGAATGTGGCCAGGGGGAGGGGCGGGGAAGGTGCGGGTGAAGGAGAGGGAGGGGGATAGAGCTGGAGGGGGTGTTTTCCTGGGAGCGCAGTCAAAGAAAAGGAGGGAGAGGATGGTTCTAGAGGAGGTGGTTCTGGGGGATGGGGTGGGTGGGACAGGTGCTGCAGCTGGGTATGCAAGTGGTGATGCTGGTGGTAGCTCGGCTGGTGTGGTGGTTGCTGCAGGAGCGGGGATGAGAGGCCGCGAGACTGCTGCAGCACGAGGAGTAAGGGGGGGGGGGAGGAGGAGGGGGAGATAGGCTAGGCGAAGGGCCTCTGGGGGTTGTTCCGCTGCCAGGCACACCTCCCCCGACTGGATTCTCCCTCTCCCTCTCCCTCGCCCTTCCAGACCCATCCCTCCTGGCCAAACAGCAGCAGCAGCAGCAGCAGGGCCGCAGAGCCTTGGCTCCTGGCTTCTTGGGGGCAAGTCACAGCAGCAGCAGTGCTGCTGCTGTTGGGGCTAGTGGCGTTAGAGCCGTTCACGCTGGTGCTGCTGATGCTGGTGGCGTTGGTATTGCTGGTGCGGACCCGAGCTTGCACTTGTGGGGGTTTGGACAGGAGGCGACTGCTCCCACAGAGGCACAGAGAGGAGGGGATACGGGAGCTGGTGCATGGATGCAACAGGCAGAGGAACGGACAGGTGGGATGCAGAGTATGCTCAGGGAGGGTGGTTTTTTGTGATGACTTATCTGAGAATTTTCCGAAGTGACTCAAAACGAAAAAGTCTCAGAAGTTCACAGTGAGCCGCATGCGCAGTGGCCTTTCTTTGCAGTTGTTGCTCTCACACGTTGCTGTTTGGTCGGTTTGTTGGCTGGACAGTCTGTCTGTTGTGTTGTGCTGTTGTGTGCGTTCTCTGTCGGAAATTCCCCTCGCATATTCTGCTTATCGTCACCCCCACCCCCCTCACCCCACCCCCCACCCACCCCCCCCACACCGCGATTGCGGTCTCCCCTGTGGTCACCCTGTGGTTATGCTGCAATTCTGAACCGTGCAGGCCAACACTAAACTCAATCCAGCCACCCGTGCTTCTGCCTCCTGCCTCCTGCCTCATGTGCCCCGGCTGCTGTTGCTGCTCCTGCTCCCGGTTCGCTAGTCTGGCCTGGGCCTAAGCCCTGTGCTGTGCATCACGCGCAAACATGAGAGCGAGAGAACGCGCGCTAGAAAGAGTGTGTCTGTGTGTCGTTGTGCCGCCTCGTCCCTGTGCTCCTCGTAAGGATGCAACCTGTCTTTGCCATTGCCTTCAGGTAGTGTAGTGTAGAAAGTTCTTGTTTAGTTTCCTTGTTACTGTCCCCTAAGTTGCCGCTGACACAGTGCTGTCCCTTCCTTCATTTCTTCTTCATTCCTCAGGGGGTCTTTGTTCTCGTGCTGTGAGTGTCGTGCATGTGCTCTTCCGTTATGTGTAGCAATAGTTATTCAATCGCCACAGTTAATATTTCTCCATCCTTCCTCTCCCTCATTCCTTCATCAGTTGCTTCCTATCAACCCCCTTCTTCCCTCTCCTGGCGGTTGGTTCCGCTCTCCCCCATTATCCCACACCTTTCCGTTTCATCCTCCCTCCTCACCTCCTCTCCCCTCCTCTCCCCTCCTCTCCACCCTCCCTCCCACCTTCCCCCCTCCTTCTCCCTGCGTCTCCTCCTGCCTCTGCCATGGCATTTCCCTCCTGCCCTATCCATGCCTTCTCTCTCGCCTTTCAGGTTTTGAAAGCGCAATTTACTTTGCAGGGCAACCCCTGCCCTCTCTTCCTCTCCCTCCGCACTTCACTGCAGGCAACAGCACGTGCTGTGTGCATGCTGCTACCCCTCCGCGTGGATACCGCTTACTTCCCGGCCCGTCCGACGAGCTCCTCCAGGAGCCGCCTCCGCAAGTCTCGCATCGATACAGCGACTGGTCGCAACCCAACTCACAACTCACTCCTCCTGCTCCTCCTATCCACCTCCATCCTTCTCACATCGCGCCTCATCCCCCTCCTCACCCCCCGCCACATCTCCCCCCTGCTGCTGCTGCTGCTTCTGCTGCTTCTGCTGCTGCTGCTGCTGCTGCTGCTGTTGCTGCTGCGTTCCACACATCGTCCGCATCGCCTGCCTTGCAACTGTGGCTGTTGCATCCTGCCAGTCCCCCCGCTCAAGGCCGAGTTGCAACCAATGACTGTGCCATGGATTGGAATGCAGAGGGCCCCACTATTCCAGCCTCCTATGCTCCGTCCCTTCCTCCCTCCGCTCCGTCCTTCCCTTCCTTTCCCTCCGTTCCCCCTGCCTTTCCCCCTTCCTACCTTCCATCTTATCTTGCCGCATCTCCTTCAGCCACGGCTCCTGCTTATCGTCCTTCCTTTTCCTCCTCCTGTCCGCCCTCCTATCCCTCCTATCCTCCCTCCATTTCGGCATCCGTTGCAACGGGTGCTGCTATTGCCCGCAACGTCAACCTTACTGAAGGTACCCTGGGATGGGACATGAATGCACCGCTTTCTGTGTACGATCTTAACACATTACCACGACTACCACCACCAATGTAAAGAGGTGTGCAGATGTAAAGAGGTGTGCAATGCAGCCGAAACCAATGGCGTTGTCACCTCGCGGCCTGGAATATCCAATCGTAGGAGGGGAGACTTCATGGAAGGACAGAGACTTGCAGCTGTAGTGGTGTAGATAGGATAGCAGCAGGGGTATTGCAGCTGCTACCGTAGTTGCCCTTGCCAGTTACCTGGTCAGTGCACAAGGCATGACTGTAGAAAGCTCTTTTTCTTTTCTTTTTTCTTTCTCATCAGGCTTCTTGGTGACTCATCCTCCTGATGTCTTGGCTACCTCTTCTACTGTAGTTTTTTTTTGCATGCACCACCTTAGGTGAAGGGGTGCGCAACGAACAGTATGGTATCTTGTCATGCTCACTGAACTGGGGCCTCAAATGTTGATGCTTGAACCAAGCAGGGGTGAAGAAGAATCAGCCTTTCACTGTCACTGTATAACCCAGATAGAGCCCCTGGGGACTAGGCCTTGTGCCTTGTCTGGGTAGGAGGGGCAAACATGCAACCCTAACAACTGTACTCCCTATTGTGCTACTCACTGTAGCCTACAACCATACAATTACATTTGACACACCCCCATAGGCTACGGTAAGTGAGGGGCATCAAAACAAGCAAGGTGAACAAACGGTCACAAGACCAGTCAGAGCAAGAAACAAGGCAAGCTCAGGGTGGATCTAAAGGACACCACACAAATTCTGAGCGCAAGCAAGCGGCCACAAGGTCAGTTCAAGAGTTCACTAGGATATAAATAGGAAGCACAACAAGTAGAGCAAACAACAAGACTACAGCAACCGAGGGCCTACCTCAACAAGCCCCAACTGCACACAGAACCTGTGGTGATCACCAAGCGCCAAGGCCTTGGTGAAGACGTCTGCAGTGTTGGCCTCTGAGGCCACAAAGTCCAGGCGTGCCTGGCCGCGTCGCTGCAGCTCTCGTAGGAGGAAGTACCTCACGTCAATATGCTTCACTCTGCTCTCCAGTCGAGGCTCTCGACACAGGAGGATCATGGCCTTGTTGTCAGCGTACAAGGTCGGTGCAGAGCGAGGCCGCTCACCAAGGTCGGCGAGCAAGAAGGTCAACCAGTGAAGCTCCTGTGCCGCCATGGCACCAGCGTAGATCTCTGCCTCTGCACTGGAAGTAGCCATAGACGACGACCGTGTAGACCTCCACGACACAGCACCAGCTCCCAGACTGAAGCAGTAACCCCGAGTCGAGCGCTGAGTCTCCACGTCGTCAGCGTAGGAAGAGTCGCAGTGACCAGTCAACGCCACTGGCTGAGTCCCTCCAAGCACAAGCCCCATGCCTGATGTAGTCGCCAAGTACTTCGCCACCCTCACAGCAGCTGTCCAGTGGACAGGGCGGTGTCTCCCAGTCGTAACAAAGCGAGAAAGGATGCTGAGGGGAAAGGCGAGGTCCGGTCGAGTACAAGTCATCAGGTACATGAGGCAGCCCACCAGCTCTGCGTAGGGTCCACTAGACTCGAAGGGCTCGTCAGGAAAGGGGCCCGTGAGTCTGTGGTCAACAGCAAGAGGAGTGGGCTGTGTGGTGGAGAACTGGGAGTCGAACCGCCGAAGGACCTGCTGCACCATGTGTGACTGCGTCAGTGTGATGGTGCGAGCGGCTCTGTCCCGGGTAATCTGCAGGCCAAGGTAGCGCTGCACCTCACCCAGGTCAGTGCACTTGTGTCTCTTCTGCAGTTCGGAATTCACCTGAGCCAGGGCTGCCCTGTCAGCTGTAGCAAACACCAAGTCGTCGACGTAGACCATGATAAAGAAAGGAGTAGAACCCGCTCGAACAAACAGCGACTGGTCGGCGGAGGACGGGCTGAACCCAAGGTCACGAAGCGTGGAGCGAAGAGTGTCGTGCCACTCACGGGGCGACTGGCGGAGACCGTAGACTGGTCGCCTCAGGCTCCACTGGGTCCCAGGTGGGAAGGTGTCAGTGAAGCCAGGAGGACGGCGCAGCCATATCTCCTCGTGCAGTCGGCCCTGGAGGAACGCAGTGGAGAAGTCGAGGGAGTGCAGCTCGTAGTCTCGCTGTGCTGCTATGTGGAGTAACACCCGAAGAGTAGTCATCTTCGGGGTCGGGGCGAAGGTCTGGAAGAAGTCAACTCCCTCACGCTAACTGAAGCCCCTAGCCACGTAGCGCACCTTGAATTCCAGCGGTGCTCCAGGCGGCCGCTTCACCTTGAAGAGCCACATGCCATCGATTACGTTCGCCCTGGGAGGGGGAACTACGTTGACGTAGGTGCCTGTGGATCTCCAAGACGCCAACTCTGAGTCCATAGCCGTTTTCCACTAAGAGGCCCACGCCCCTGACACTGCCTCGCGGTAAGTCCGAGGAGTCGGTATGTCAAGGGCGTCGGGGTCTCCCTCAGGGGAGAGCAGCATGGCACACACAGAGGGAGAAGCGGCTGCCCAGTACTCCAGCTCAGACTCTCTATCCTCTAGGACGTCACGGCCAAGGGCAAACCCACCCCCGACGGACAGAGGACGGTAGGGAGGAGCTGGCACCACCCGGGTGGCGTAGTCAAGGCGGCTGGCGGCAGCAAACTCAGTGACAGCGGCAGTAAGAGCCGAGGCAGACGACGGAGGGAAACGAGAGTCAGTGACAAGAGTGGCGAGGACACGTGCGGCAACAGGACGAACAGTGCGATAGTAGTCAATTATAGGAGTGGGGAGAGCTGGGAGAGAGGACGGAGGAGGAGACGGGAGAACGGACACAATAGAACGAGAACGACGACAGGACGAACAAAGGAGGGCAGTGTGGAGGTTAGTAACAGGGGACGAGTGACGAGCACGCGGAGGACAACGAGTGATGAAGTCGTGACGGACAGAGTGAGGAGGAGACCGAGGAGGAGGAGAAGACCAGACCGCCGGACGGTCGTCAGGAGGAGGCAACGGAGGAACAAACGCAGGAGGAGACTAGGAGCGGACAGGAGGAGAGGAGGAAAGGCCAAGGGCCCGCAGGCCACTTATAGGTGGGAACAACTGCCGCTCCAGAGGAAGCCGCGGTGGCGGCTGCGGCTGCTGTTGCTGCAGCGGCGACGGCGGCTGCTGCTGCTGCGGCTGCGGCTGCGGCTACTGCTGCTGAGGCTGCGGCTGCTGCTGCTGCTGCTGCCGCTGCTGCTCCAGAAGGTCCAGCACCCGCAGCTCCTGCCGCTCCCTCTCCAACCGCTCCTGCTCCTCACGCTCACGCCGACGGGCAGCCTGGAGACGGGTGTCGTGGCGGTGGGGAGGCGGAGTGGACTCCGCAGAACCAGGGTCTCCTCAGACTCAGCACCCCCAGAACCAGCACCTCCAGTGCCAGAACCTCCAACTCCAGCACCTCCAGAACTAGCACCTCCAGTGCCAGCACCTCCAGCTCCAGCACCCCCAGAGCCAGCGCCACCTGCGCCAGCACCTCCAGCTCCAGCACCCCGCGACCGAGCACCCCCAGACCGAGCACCGCCAGCGGCTGCACCTCCAGCTCCAACACCAACCGAGTCCACAGTAACCTGTCGTGGAAGTGCTGAAGGCTGCTGAGGGGACTGTGAGGAGGACTGCGGGGAGGGAGACGCTACCTGACGCGCGACCGAGGGTAGAGGGGTAGCGTGGGACACACCAGACGGGGCAGGACCAGGGGGGGGCGGGGGTACCGGAGGAGCAGGAGCAGGAGGAGGAGAGGGTGCTAGGAACAGGGGGGGAGGGGGTACCGGGAGACCTCGACAGGGGTACCGGAGGAGCAGGAGCAGGAGGAGGAGAGGGTGCTAGGAATAGGGGGGGAGGGGGTACCGGGAGACCTCGACAGGGGTACCGGGTGTAGTAGGACACAGACTCGTCAAACCGGACGTCACGGGAGTCTAGGAACTGGTGGAGGGGTGGATGGTAAAAGGACCAGTCGGCGGAGTCCACTGGGAAACCAAGGAAGACACAGGGGACGGCGCGTGCCGAGAGCTTGTCCGGGGAGGTGTTGCGAACAAGTGCAAGGCAGCCCCAGACTCGAAAGGCCGACCCAACACCAGGGGAACCAGTCCAAAGACTGGTCGGTGAAGCCTCGGGCCGCGAGACACGCGGCTGGATGTTCAGTTGGTGTGCAGCGTAGCGAACCGCGTGAGGCCACAGAAAATGGGGCGCATGGGCATGGATCATGGACGTGCGGGCGATGTCCATGACCAAGCCTATGCGGCGGTCAGCAACCCCATTCTGCTGTGGGGACTCTGGCAGCGTCCAGGACTGGGTGATGCCCTGTTCGCCGCAGAATCCGCCGAGAATGCCGGAGCGAAACTCGCCCCCACGGTTGGAGTGAAGACAACTGACTCGACGACCACAAGTGCCCTCAGTGGCTAGAAGCCACCTGATCAGCGTAGCAGTCACCTCGGACTTCTTCGCAAGAGGGAACACTATGGTGTACCTGGAGTAGTCGTCGACGACCACCAGAAAGTAACGCTCTCTCCCAGACCCCTGCGTCGGGGCAGGGCCCCAGAAGTCCAAGTGGAGAGTCTCGAAGGGAGCGGTGGCCAGACGAAGGGAGGAGGAGTGGGGAGTGGCGCGTAAGCGACCGGCGATGCACGGAGAGCAAGGAGGGGCAAGCGAGGGAGGGAGCAACGGGAAGGTGCGTGGGAGATCTGTGACAAGTCCCTGACTGAGCATGCCACGAAGGCGAGGGATCGACGGGTGGCCAAGGCGGTGGTGCCACGGGACGGTGTGGTGGGCGAGAGAGCGACAGGAGCAAGACGCAGCGACTGGACTGGACACAGCGACCGGACTGGACACGACTACCTGGCTAGACACAGCAATTGGACTGGGGACCTGGGCCGGAGGGGACGCAACGACCTGAGGGGAGGACGCGACCGGGGAGCGCTCGGTGTGGAGAACGTAGAGACCGGAGCGGGGCTCCCTGGTGAAAGCGGCCAGAACAGCACCTGTGGTAGCGTCAGTACAGACTGCAGTCCGCCCACCCCCCACGAAGGTAACCGTGATCCCCTTGTCCTGGAGGTATCCACACCCACC